TATTATAATATTGATGCCCTGCTGATGATGACGATGATGATTATGATGATGGTGATTATAATGATGATGAACGGTTAATTATTGATATTATCTTCATCCTTATTATTTTAATTGTTGCGATAATCATCATGATCATACTGATAGTTATCATTATCATTTTAGATATTATTTTGTTATCATCATTAATGTTATCATCATCATCATCATCATGAAGATAATGATAAAGATTATGATATATTCATTATCATTATATATATCATTATCGTTATGATTATCATTATAATCATCTTATATAATTATGTAATCTCTTCCTCCTCTTCTCCCTTTCTCCTCTTCTTCCTCTTTCTTCCTCTTTCTCCTCCTCCTTCCCCTCTTCCTCCCCTTCTTCCTCTTCCTCCTCTTCCTCTAGCTCTTCCCTTCTTCTACCACAAGAAACACAAGCCTATCTATCCCTATTTATCTCTATCCTTGATCTTTCTTTGCACCGTCACTTTCACAGCCTCATAACTCCACAATTGCACAGCTGGGATGCCTTTTGGGCTGGGATGCAACACCTGCATCAATATTTGCAAATGAATCGGCAATTTTTTTGGCTTTTTTTCCTGTCACGTCACGCCCTGTAACTCCTCCCTCCTCTCCCCCCTCCCTCCCTCTCCTCCTTCCCTCCCTCCCTCTCCCCCTCCTCCCTCCTCCTCCCTCCTCCTCCTCCTCCTCCTCCCTCCCTCCCTCCCTCCCTTCCCTCCCTCCTCCCCTCCCTCCCTCTCCTCCCTCCTCCCTCCCTCTCCCTCCCTCCTTCTTCCCTCCCTCCTTCCCTCCTCCCTCCTCCCTGTTTAGAAAAAAATGAGCATTGGTTTTGCTGACGAAGAAATGGAGGAAAGAAATGGATTGTCGATATTAAGATTAATTCTTTCTCTCTTCTCTTTCTCTTTCTGTCTTTCTCTCTCTCTTTCTCACTTTTTCTTACTTTCTCTCTCTCTCTCTTCTCTCTCTCTCTCTCTCTATATATAATATATATATATATATATATATATATATATATATATAATATACTTTATTATTTATTATTTATCTATTTATGTTTCCATCTTTTCTTCGTTCGATTCATCTTTCTTCGTCATTCATTTTTTGCACATGATTGAGAGAGAGAGAATGGAGAGAGGAGAGAAATAAATAGAGAGATGAGGAGAGAGAAAGAGAAAGAAGAGAAGAAAGAAAGAAAGAAAGAAAGAAGAAGAGAGAGGGGTGAGTGTGTGCGTGTGCGTCTGCGCGCGTGTGTTCTGTGCATGTGTGCGTGTGCGTGCGTGCATGTACGAGAATTCCACCACCAGTAAGCAACAGTCAACTGGCCGTGAGATTTGAGCCTGAAATTACTGCAACATTTGTTTATTTCAGCATTACAAATGGGCGCAATTTACTCATCAAAATAATACGTTTCATGTGCATGTTGCAGCAGATGGAATGTGTATGTTAAAGAGAAGAGAGTGGAGGGAGAGGAGAGAGAGAGATAGGGAGGGAGGAGAAGGAGAGGAGATGGGGAAGGAGGGAGGAGAAGAGAGGAGGAGGAGGGAGGGAGAGAGGGAGGAGGACGAAGAGAGAGAGACGGAAGAAGAGAGAAGAGAGAGAGAGAGAGAAGAGAGAGAGAAGAGAGAGAGAAAGAGAGAGAGGCAAACAGACAGACACCAAGACAGATGAGAAGAGAAGAAGACAGACAGACAGAGAAAGAGAGAGAGACAAACAGACAGACAGAGACTCTCCATGATTCACTCAGCGATGCTTTCTCTCAACTACCAACCAACACTTCAGGAAGATATGAAATTGTCGTAAATAATGATAACGTCTCTTTTTGTACTGTGTCGTTATTTCCAATCTTATCTATCTTTGGTTTATCTTTCTATCTCTCTTTTTCTTTTCTCTTCTTCTATTTCCTTCATTCCGTCCAATTACGGTTTTCGTTTCCCAGCTTTGGCGCAACGATCGTTATTGAATCTCTCTCTCTCTCTCTCTCTCTCTCTCTCTCTCTCTCTCTCTCTCTCTCTCTCTCTCTCTCTCTCTCTCTCTCTCTCTCTCTCTCTCACTCTCACTCTCTCTCACTCTCACTCTCACTCTCTCTCACTCTCTCCTCTCCTCTCTCTCACTCTCTCTCACTCTCCTCTCTCCCTCTCCTCTCTCCCTCCTCCCTCTCCCTCTCCCTCTCCCTCTCCCTCTCTCTCTCTCTCTCTCTCTCTCTCTCTATCTATCTATCTCTATATCTAGCTAGCTAGCCAGCTAACTAGTACTCGCACTTCTCTATTTACCTATCTATTCATACCTCTCCTTTTCTCTATCTATCAATCTATCGATTTATCTATCATATCTGTCTTACATTCCTCATAACAGCACGATTATCATATTCTTTACATCTCTTACTTTTTTTTACTTATTTTTTTCAACAAAATACTCCCTCTCTTACTATCGGGTCAAGTAACTGTTTTTCTTTCTTTCTTTCTTCTTTCCTTTTTTTTCGTTTTGTTTTTGTTTTTTTTGTTTCTTCAATGTGGACATTTTACTTCGGATATCGTACCTTCTCGAAAATATTTCACAGCCATAAGTGCCTTCTGATAGCGCCATCTATTGGTGAACGATACAACTAAAATAAATAACACAAGTAGGATTATGCAGTCTCGATTTTTTTGTGTGTGTGGTGTGTGTGTGTGTGTGTGTGTGTGTGTGTGTGTGTGTGTGTGTGTGTGTGTGTGTGTGTGTGTGTGTGTGTGTGTGTGTGTGTGTGTGTGTGTTGGGAGAGAAGAAAACCGATAGAAATAGATAGAATTTCTGAAAATCCAAAGGAAAAAATAACATTACCAATATCTACTATTTACTCCGATCTGCTATGTTTGGTCACTTTTAATGTAGTCTTGATAACTCTACCCCCTTCAGCCTTAACTACACACTCTATAACGACCTACTTTCAGCCTTAAACTACACATTATAACGACCTCTTCAGCCTTTAATTACACACTCTATAACGACCTACTTTCAGCCTTAACTACACACTCTATAACGACATACTTTCATCCGTGACAACAAACTATAACGACCTACTTTCAGCCTTAACAACATCACTTCACCAAACCCCTGATTGCAGGTTATCGGGCATCACTAAACATTTCTTATCATTTCTTATCTCTCTTAACGTTAAGATTTTGAGAAAAAAAAATTCTCTTCTTCTTGGTTATTATGAGTTTAAAGGAGAGTTAAGTGTTTGTCAACTGCTTGCATTTTGCCTTTTTTTTACATTATTTTTATTGCATTTTTTCTATTTTATTAATCATTTTTCATTACTTTCTCTCATCTATTATTTTTCAGTCGCTCATTTTATCAACCTTCTTTTAATTACTTTGTTTTATTAATCATTTCTCTCATCACTTTATTGTACTTAGTACTTTTCTTTTTTTTTTCTTTTCTTTTTTACTATCGGTGAGTGAGATCATACGCTACGGTTATATATAGGTGGTTGTTATATTTGACATAGCTTCTAGTGTTCTTTGGAAATATACTTTTTGGAGTAAGTCACGTGTCTGTTATAATCGCACTTGTAGTATAATATGTTATTGAAGGTCGTGGTGAAAGTTATTATGTCTTTTAATAAGTTTTGGCTGTATATATCCAGAATCTCAAAGGTCCTATCACACTATGTCAATTTTTTTGCGTTTGCGAATGAAGTCGGGAATCATGCTACATATTACGTTATTTTTTAAAGAAATATGCTGATGTATATTGTATATACGAATGTTCTAAAATATTAGCTTATGTTTACATTCACTCATCCTATCTAATTTATTAATAGCACAAGATCAAGACGGAAATTAGTCAGACGGAAACGGTCGTAACCGTCTTGGTCTGGGAGGCGTTCCGTTTGCAGACGATCCTTGCGGAAAGCCTCAGATTCAGACGGAACCCCAGAAATTGACGGAAAAAGTGCTAGTGTGATAAGGCCTTATAGGTGCTGTCACACTAGCACTTTTTCCGTCAATTTTTTCACTATTTTACTTAACATAAATACCAACATTCTCGAATATAGATCTTGATTTGACTTTGCTTGGCTGAAAAAGTTGACGGAAAGGTTTTCAGACGGAAACGATCATTGTCGTCTGACTGGAAAATCGACAATTCGCTCAAAAATGGAAAAAAATTAAGAAAATTGTCAAAAAATTGTTTTCACAATTTTATTTAACATAAATACCAACATTCTCGAATATAGCTCTTGATTTGACTTTGCTGAAAAAGTTGACGGAAAGGTTTTCAGACGGAAACAATCATTATTGTCTGACTGGAAAATCGACAATTCGCTCAAAAATGGACAGAATTTCAGAAATTGTAAAAAAAAAAAAAAAAAAAAAAAAAAAAAAAAAAAATTGACGGAAAAAGTGCTAGTGTGATAGGGCCTTAAAACTTTGTAAATTTAAGATTTTTTTTAATGCATTGACTTAAAAAATTATAAAAAAAAAAATGCATTGACTTATAAATTTAAATGAAATAATAATGATAATAATACACCGATTATTTTGATGACCAGGCGTGGCAGACGTGTGTGCACAGGTTTGTTTGTTTAGTTGTTTGTTTACTTGCATAGGAATGGGATTGTAAATAATAAAGCATTTCATCCATATTTTATTGGATAGAAGATATCAAACATTTTCGCAATCTGTTTGAATTATAAAAGCCTTTATTGGAATTTTGATGAATTTATATAAATGTAGGTTTACGTATAGCCATACGAGTTTAAGAGAAATTGCATGCATAAATACCTGTATGTATATATACATATACATATATACATACATACATATATGTTTTATATATATATATATATATATATATATATATATATATAGAGAGAGAGAGAGAGAGAGAGAGAGAGAGAGAGAGAGAGAGAGAGAGAGAGAGAAGAGAAAGAGAAGAGAAGAGAAGAGAAAGAAGAGAGAGAGAGAGAGAATATACATACATATATATATTAATAAATATATAGACATACAATCATTATAGACATATATATGCAATGTATATATATATCAATACATATAAACAGACACACAAACACATTCACATATATTCCCTCGCTCACGTGTGGAATGCTTAGTCCGCCTTTTTACCGGAGAAAGAAATCAAGTGTCTGTTGCCTTTTCCGCTTTTATTATCACGTCAGGGGGCGCTTCTCCGTCTTCGTCCTGTGGGAATGGAATGTCTTTATCAGCGGGGACAGATGGGTAGATCGATAGATAAGCTTATTGATAGATGTGGAAAAGGCGATTGAGTTGTGTGTCGTATGGTAGTGGCATAGGGTATGACTGTTAAATTTCTTCTTCCTTCTCCTTCTTCTTCTTCTCTTTCTCCTTCTCCTCCACTCCTCTACCTCCTCCTTCCCACCTCCACCTCCTCTACCCTCCTCTCCTCTCCACCTCCACCCCCATTCCACTACTTCTACCTCCTCCACCTCCTCCTCCACCTCCTCCTCCTCCACCTCCACTCCCACCCCCACCCCCTACCTCCACCTCCTCCTCTCCACTTCTACCACTCCTCTCCTCCACCTCTTTACCTCAACCTCCTCCTCCTCTCCCCCTCCACCACCCACCTCCCACCCCCACCCAACCCCCACCTCCACACCCATCCCCACCCCACCCCCCACCTCCACCCCCACCATCCCCCACCCCACCCCCACCTCCCCACAACCTCATTAACCTCACCTTTTTTCCCTCCCTTCGCGGCTCGTTCCAAGGCTGCACGTCGGCGCTGATGAAGAGGAGATAGACAGTGCAGCTGACGAAGTAGATAGCAGCCGACAGCAGGAACACTCTCCTCCAGGCGCCGAGGGTTTGCTGCGGAGGAAGAGAGGGGAGGGGAGGAGGGTGGGAGGAGAGGGAGGAGGGAGGGAGTGGGGAGGAAGGAGGGAGGGCGGGAGGAGGAGAGGAGGAGGAGGAGAGGGGAAGGGAGGAAGGGTGGGAGGAGAGGAGAGGGGAGGGGAGGGAAGAGGAGAGGGGAGGGAAGGGAGGAGGAGAGGAGGGGAAGAGGAGAGGGGAGGGGAGGGGGGAGGAGGAGGAGAGGGGAGAGGAGGGAAGGGTGGGAGGAGGAGGAGAGAGGGAGGGAAGGAGGAGAGGAGGAGAGGGGAGGGGAAGGGAGAGGAGGAAGAGGGTGGAGAGAGAGAGAGGAGAGAGAGGGAGAGGGAAAGGAGGAGGAGGGGAAAGGAAAAGAGAGGATAGGTATGGAAAGAGACAAAAAAAAAAAAAAAATTATATTAGTTAATTTCCAAATTCCTTCATATAACCCTGTTATTCTATCACACTGGCCAAAAACAATTAAAAATATTAATCTTACTAAAAACAACAAAAATTTCTTTCCAAATACCGTTTCATATTTATTTATTTCCTTTACGTTTCTTTTCTTTCTAATATAAGACACTTACTTCCCTTAGAAAAATGTTTCGTACTTATATTACTGCCTTATACTGCCTTTTACGTAATTCTTGCAAACAGAGGAATAAGGAAGGGAGAGATGAATATAGGAAGAAAGAAGGAGAGTGAGAGAGAAGGGAAAGGAAGAAGGAGAGTGGGAGAGAAGTGGGAGGAAGAAATGTGGGATGGATAGAGAGAAGTAAATGAGAAGGGAAGAAAAAGACTGAGAAAAATATAGAAGGATGGAGGAAGGAAGATGGAGACTCAGAAAGAGATAGAAAAATATAGAAGGAAGAGGGAGAGGGAGAAAGATATAGAAGTAGGGGGGGAAGAGGGAGAGGGAGAAAGATATAGAAGTATGGGGGAGGGAGAAAGTGGGAGAGGGAGAAAGAGATAAAAGTAGGGGGGATGGAGAAAGAGGGAGAGGGAGAAAGAAATAGAAGGGAGGAAGTAGGAGATTGAGCATGTGGCAGGAGGAAGGAAGAAAGAAGGTCGAGGAGTAGATAGGAAGAAGGAGAAAGAAATAAAAGGGAAGAAAGAGACTAAGAAAGAGAGAGAAAGAGGAAGGACCTGAGAAAGAGATAGAAAGAAGGAGACCGAGAAAGAAAGAGAAAATGGGAGGTAGGAAGAAAGGAGACAAAAGGAATTGATTGAGGAAGAGATATATCGGGGAGAAAGAGAACCGAGAGAGAAACAGAAAGAAAGGAAAGGAGAATGAGAGAGAAAGAAAGAAAAAAGAGATAGAAGAACGAGGAAGAAATAGAAAGAAAGACAGAAGAAAGGAAGAAGGAAGAAAAGAAAACAGAAAGGTGGTAAAGAGACGCGAATAGAAACAAGAACAAGAGAGACGGAAAAAAACAAAAAAAAGACAGAAAAAAAGAAAAGAGAAGAAGATCGAGAAAGAAACAGAAAAAAGAAAGAGACAAAAGACAGAACGAAGAATGAGAAAAGAAAAAAGGGACAGAAAGAGAAACGAAAAGAAACGAAAAAACAACAGAAGAAAAGACAAAGAAGAAAAGAAACAGAAAACCAGAAAAGGAAAGACGGAAATCGCGAAAGAAACAGAAAAGAAAATAAGACTAAGAAGAAGGGGAAAGACAAAGAAAAAGAAACAGAAACAAGAAAAAAGAACAGAAAAACAGAAGGAGAAAAGACGATTGAGAGACAGAAAAGAAAGAAAAAAAAGAAAAAAAGAAAATAAAAAAAAAAAGAAAAGAAAAGATCGCTAAGAACCAAAAAAATGAAACAGACAAAAGAAACAGAATGAAACAGACGGAAAAACAAATAAAAAAAAAAAGAACCAACAACAAAAGAGGCGGCACTCACATTCCCGTTGGTGATGGCGCCCGTGAGCTGAGGCGCCGCAAAACCCGGGATGTTGGCCAGGGTGTTGGTGACCCCGAACAGCGTCCCTGAGAAATTCGGGGCCAGGTCTTGGTGGGAGCACATGTAGCCCGAGTACAAGGAGCCGCTGATGCCCACGACGGTGCAAAGGACCGCCATGGCCATCACGCCGTCGCAGTTGACGAAGCACATCGCCACCAGGCCGAACATGGGGCCGTACGAAGCTGGGGGAGAGAAGGGGGATGAGTGGGGTATAGGATTTTTTTTTCTTCTTCTTCTTTCTTTCTTTTCTTTTAGGATAAGATTTTTTTTATGATTTTTTTTCTTTGAAAAGGATGCTGAATTT